CTTGGTAGCCCAGGCTGGCCTCGAACTCACAGAGATCCGCCTGGCTCTGCCTCCCAAGTGCTGGGATTAAAGGCGTGCGCCACCACCGCCCGGCTATGTGCATGTATTTTTATTGTAATGTTTTATTTGGTTTTTGTTAATGTAAAAATATTTCGCTGAATTTCTTTTCTGGTAATACAGTAGATTGAACCTAGGGTCTCACTCATACAAGACCAAGGGCTCTCCCACTTAACCATGGCCCAAACCATCCCAAACATTGGATGTTTCTTAATCATACAATAATACCCATTTCTCAATACTATGCAGTTAAGTTCTGCATATGGATATATGGAACCCCAAAGCCAGTCTGGTTCTGGAACTAGGACTAGCATGCTGTATAGGCTTGGATCCAGGCTGCCAAGGCATGCACAATGTAAGCAAATGAATAGACAAGCCACATTTGGTAGCTGTACCTCAGTCTGGATCTAGCCATCAGAATTATAGGTTTAAAATCATGTTTTCTTCCAGTCCATCACCAAATTCACCCTAACCAAGTTCAAGCCACAGAGTTACAAATCAGAGCACTAGTTTATTGATTTAAATTGAAAATTAACTGTGAAAATTAACGTATGACCAGGACATTTTCTCTGTAAGAAGATAAGCAGGACCCTCAATACCACATTGCTGAGGTTTGGGATCTACAAAAGGGAAACTAGAGGTACTGTCGATTTTGTTTTTTGTATTATATGAACTTAATCTAGAATACCTGATTCATTAAATTTTATTAAAAATTGTCTTGAGAAGAATGAAAACCTTTGATATTTTTTGGCCAAGGTCCTCAGGGTAGATTATAGCTAGTATTTCATAGTCTAACTTTTCTCAGTGTTTCTACAGATAATTAGCTCTTATATTTAGAACAGATATTTTAACCATATCTGGCAAGCCTAGAAGTCAATTTTCTCCTTTTGAAGTGATTTATGCCAACTTCTGTGTAGCCTGTTAGGCAGTTAATCTGAAAATTTAACACTCAAAAGGTGATCTCTCTCTCTCTCTCTCTCTCTCTCTCTCTCTCTCTCTCTCTCTCTCTCTCTCTCTCTCTCTCTCTCTCTCTCTCTCTCTCTAATTCCATTCTAGGTGCTAAGTACTGATAATGTGATAC